TGGTTCCATCTGATTAATACTGTGGATGGAGCGTTGTAGCTGTAATGGTATTGAGACAAATTACTGTATGTCAGCTGAAAATTTGATTCCGGCGCAGAAAGTTCGCGGAAGCTCCGCGGAAGCTCCGCGGAAGCCCCGCGGAAGCTATGGGATGGGTTTGGGACTTCTTAGCCACTCCTTGTTTACCGCAACACCAGTTCCCGAGCGACCGCCTCTGGTTTGAACCAAGAACAACCACCCCAACTTCCCCTTTGAATAAGTTACCGAGTGACCGCCTTTGGTTTGAACTTTCTAAGGCCAGCTCCAACCCCGAAATTCTAAATAATTTGCACTCAATGCCCGCTCGGGCTTTGGACGGATAACGCTGAAGACTAGAAATCCCTTTCGCGGAAGAGCCGCGGAAGCATCTTAGACGAAAACGTCAGCGGAAGAGCCCCGCGGAAGCACGTCGTCGGAAAACCTGCCAGTAGTCTTCGCGNNGAAGCTCGCGGGCGGAAGCTTCCTTATGTCAATTGAATTTGTATACCTTTTTTTTTAACGGCTCAAATGTGAAGTAGGGCCGTGATTCGGGTTTCTGGTGTCTAGGGTTCCTCAGGAATATTGGTGAGTGTATATATTGCCAGGTGGCCAACTTGAGGGATTATAACAATATCCTACCATATAGGAACTAGCAAGACAGGACTTTGCAGGCTTCAGGTAGTACTAAAGCAGTAGGCGGATCTTTCCGCAAAGTGCACTGAGATGAAGTTCTGCCTGAGAGGCTGATTCTGTCACGAGAGTTCCTGCTGCCGTGCCGAGCTTCTACAGGGCTCAGGCCTGCTGCGAGGCTGCTGCGGCCATAAACTGAAACACATCCCTTTGCCTTTTGGGGAGGCCATGTAAAACGCATCCTAGACTCGAGGCTAAGGAACCCCACGCAGTTGTGCAGCCCAGCGGTCTGGTGGGAATAGTCGCTAGCCGCTAGCGCGAGGTTGCGAAGTCTTGTGGCGTCGTGCTAAGGTTTCAACGGCTCTCGGAAGCTGGACTGGTGCGAGCTGCAGCAGGCGCACAAAGCGCTTTTCGTCTAAATCGAGGTTTCGGCTGTGCTGCTGCGCTCAATACGTCTAACATCGTCTAACACTTGTTTTGGACTTCCACTTTGAGTTGATTCGGTCAGGGCGAGGCTCGATGCTCCATTCTTGTGTTTGGAAAGCCTTTACGCCATGTCTGATCGCTCTGTGCGGCATTCAGGGTAGTTGTCATGGCATGGTTCCTCTGCAATGTGTGGGTTGATTGGAACGTGGGTGGTAGTTCGCGGCTTGGTTCCATGTAGAATAGCGGCTGGCATGTCAGCTTCGTATTTGGTGATGTGCGGGTCTCGAGATGTTGTGCTCTTCGGATTGTTTGCGTAAGGACGTCTGCCAAGATGTCGGTACAAAAGAACGACCTTAGATGCCTTCAGACTGAAGAAGTTTGCTAGAACGCTGGAACAAGCAGCTGAGAAAGTTTATTTGGTCATATGTTGGGACTGGCCGCGGGCCGCGGGCTCGCGTGCGCTGCGAGGTACTGATGTGTCCTTCAGCTACACCAACTTGATGGTCGAGGATGGCAGCCTATCAGAAACTCTCACAGCATGGACTTTATGCGGGAGCGAGCAGAGTTCTCTGCAGATTTGAGAGTCGAGCTATTTTGGGAAGGGTGTGGAAGAGAGGTGAGGTCGTGCAGAGAAAGCCTCAGTCCAGAAAACAGAGCTGCATCACAGATCATGTTGAAAGTTCCTCCATGGCCCGTGTTGCAGGACACCCCGCCCGGAATCTCCATCCACGACATTACTCCGCAGGCGTGCCCCGTGTTCGACCCTTGCAAGACACCAAAGGACGAACCACTTGCAACAATTAATACATTAATCCACCACATGCAAAGTCGCTGGCGAAAGCGGCACCCTGTTAAAACAATCATCATGGATCATGTGATGAGCAGGTTCGCTCCTGCGTGGCCAAACATTTTGCCAATCGGAGGCAAGGTATCTTCAATTGCATCTTCTGGGGCACATCTCGTACAGAGGAATGCGAGGCCATCATATTTCTTATTGGGGCAGTGCACAAGAACTGGAGCCGGCCACTTCTAGTTCTATTCTGACTGAGATGGATGAACTCTTCGCAAGGTTTTCAAGAGGGAGATGCGTGCCAGTACCATCGTGACCACCTCAAGGCACCCAGCATCACCCAGCCCATTCGCTACAGCAGCCACGTTTGGAACCAGCACGCTCAGAAGCTGTCTGCAGGTCCCATCAGCGGGATGGTGTTGTACACCTCATCTCGCGGCACACCACCACGGCTGTCACCATAAATGAAGATGAGGCGCTACTCCGAAAGGACCAGCCTGCAAACTACGCTGTTGCAGCAGGGCACAACAGACGTGGGGACTGGATACAGTGGGATGTAATTAGACCTGACATTGAGCACACAAGGCTCCTGTGGAGTTTTTCAGTGTGAAGCTGTGACGCCTGGTGGCTTCAGGACATCGCAAAGTTCCTGCAGCACATGGCTCCGCCAGATGCAGTCTGCCGACTTATGTTTGGTTTTTGGGGGTCTAGGGGACGTATGCAATCCTTTGCACACCTGCAAGCCACGCCCGCGTGACAATGCATGTTTGGCATCGTACGCCTGCGCCATTCCTGAGCGTGCAAGCGACTGGTGGCAGCTTTCAGATTGCAGCATCGCCAAACTGTGCAGAATTTTCTTTCTTGTGCGCTTTCTTGTTTTTGGTGGAGCGTCCACTCGTGTGCCCTGCGTTGGGGGCACATTTCTACAGGTTTGGATGTTTTTTGGGGGTGGGGTTGGGCAGGCTGGGTGAGGGTAATAGTAATAATGTACAAGATTTAATGCAACTTGACAACCATTTACAATAGGGGACCCACTTCTTACAGACTTTTCAGGTTTGACAACAGGACTGCTAGGCACAGTACGCTAAACTTCAGCTTCGCCAGTGTGCGACATTACTTCGGCTGCTGTTGCTGAATGACGCATGGTCCCCGCATGGTCGGGGGAGGGTGGTGGGGGGCAGTAGCGTCATACATCAAAACAGGCCTCTCGTGCGCAGTTAAGCTTCAGTCTTGACCTCCAAACGACTTCTCTCGGATTGCAACTTCTCAAAGGGTTTCTTAGCACCAAAATTGTAGCCAATTTGAGAATCCTACTAAAATACATGTCGCAAAGTTTCGCGTTCCAGGGGTTCTGGAATCGTGGTTCTTGCTACAGTGAAAACCACGATCTCCACTAAAATCCTTTGCAATCTCAGGGTTTTTGCTCCTTCTTATCAGACTCTTGTGCCCATGTGATCCTAAACAACTCTCAGTTTTAGCACATTTCAGCCTCCCAACCTTCCCTGTACTATTAACAAAACACAGGGCACCCCAGTAAACGCGCCACCTGGTTTTTGCTTGCATGGCTGCGGAATCTGCAGAGAATGTGTACCTTGAGTAGCAACGACGAGTACCGGCCAGGGCCGGCAGCGCTCTGCCGATGAACCTCGCCCAGCGATGCGCGTTGGACTTCTTCCACGTCCTGCTCCTCTTATTCGCAGGTTGTTTGATTCGCCGGAGCTTGTTGTTGACAAAGCTTCTCGGCCCAAAACGTTTTGTAGAAAGCTGTTAGTTGGCTAGCGTGCAGATACACATCTCCACCCAGACTTTACGGGCGTGGGAGCTCTGTGTGCGTAGATAGCAGGTGCACATCTCTACCCAAATTTGCGGGCGTTGGAGCTCTGTGCTGATGGT